GACATTAACCAAACATTAGTTGTCTTACAGTATCGATGTGAAAGTGTTCACTTTTAATTTGTGTGGAAGTCCCCATGGATGGCACACACTAAGGTTTTATCAGGCCATAAACAGTGTATCTCAGAATCAATAAAGCTCAGCTGTACGACAAATGAAAACCTTTAAAGTATTTGAGACAAATGACGCACATACTATAAAACCCAGTGGAATTTCTCAGTTGCACTGCCAGTATTCTCTGGAGAACCCCCCTCTATTGTATGAAACATAATTTCTACAGAATTACATATTAAAAACCTTCCTTTAGTCACATTGTGATCTGACAGATGAAAAGATATGCAATAAAAACAACTGTCAGCATATGGCGTAACCACCTAAAGCCTTTCCTGTTAACTTCTAAAAACAGGCTGCAGTGTTCATTCGTGGACTTTTGTTGAACGCTTTTTGACAGATATTAATGAGCCTTGAGGGCTCGAGTGGACATTGGATAGCGCTGTTCCCTGTTTATGCTTTTACTCACATCCAAAACATGCTTCTAAGGCCTAATGAGGCGTTTCATGAACATGCCCTCTCCATTTCCTTTGCCTGCAGGATACTGGTGCTAACTTGAGTTGTTTGCTACACTTCTACTCAAGAACACACGACTGTGCCCCAGGTGCCACTCACGCATCAAAGCAATTCATATTAAATGTGCTCTTAATTTTCTTATTGTCTCAGTCTGTTTGTGTGATTCTCTTGATCCCTGCTAGGAGTGTCCGTTCAATCACAGTACAAAATAAAAAAGATCAGAATATTCCTGGGAAAAACCACTTGCAGCTTCAAAGGGGCCTAATTATGCTCATTTTCAGAGATCATATTTGTATTTTGTGCCTCTACTGTGGAAAGTCTACACGCTTTAATGTTCAAAAAGTGCTTTATTTTTCTCATATTGTGTGTGTTGCAGCACCTCTTTTCACCCTCTGTCTGAAACCAGAGTCTGATGTGATTGGTTAGCTGGCCTGCTCTGATTGGGCAACCACTTAAAGATGTCCCGCCCCTTAAGCCTATCACATACAATGTGTTGGAGCGCTAGCCAATAAAAGCGCAAGGTTTACATAGTGATGTTACCCAAATCAACAAAATAATCCCATGGAGGCGTTTCAGGCAGGGGGGAAATGTGTGGGAGAGAAACTCCCTCTGAAGAGAACTTTGGGATTTGAGCCTTTGCAGACCAATTACATGCAAACAAAATCAATAAAACACACAAAAGGAAAAAAAAACTCCAAAAAGTATAATATGGCACCTTTAACATAGAAAGACTGTAATCTCTATTCCTGGATTCGATGCATTTTCAAAATGTCCTGATGGTTGAATGAATATTTGTCAGGAGATGATGGTCCACTGCCAAAGGAACTTGGACTCAGGCAGTATGAGGACACTGTGTTGTCTTCAGCATTCTTTTCAGACAATATGATATGTTGTTTTATCGCTTTGCCGTTGCTGTCGTTTTTACATTAATGAAAGAAGTCATATCCCAGAAATCATTTATCAGTGTCTGAGTATCTTTACTTTGGCACGCAGTACAAAAAAGCACAGCAGAGATGAAGACAGATCTCTGACATGCAGAGTGTAGATTGAAAAATGATACTGATTTAGTATCTACTCTTTTTGCAGCCATCCAGTTGTAAACTGTATATGCATGCAAAACAAGAATACTTGCTGCAGTATGAAAGGTCGATGTTGTAAATACTTCTGCAATCGGGTGTATTTCCTTTTTAGACAAGATTTTTTTTGTACAACCACTATTCAGCACAAGGTCTGAAGAGATGTTTTCACAGTTCATACTTCATTAGATATTCATCAGAACAGGGTTTGTGAGATAAGAAATTAAGCAACAAATATGTGCTAACTTAAAATTAGGACACGATCTTTCCCTAACCAACAGATATCTTAGACAGAGGTTATTAAAACAACATTAAACATTAACAAGCATCATCTTCTGTTTGCACAAATGCATAATTATAAAAACATTTCGGGCATTATACCTCTGCAGTTTTATTCCCAGCAAGAATATATCTAACAGGTACTCAGATATTAGCTACATTTAAAATGTTTAGAGCTGTTCAAAAATGTATTCATCACACAGTTGTTGTTTAGCTCCAACCAGAAGTTTTGTTCTTTAGTTCAAAAGATAAAATCAGATTATTCACCACACAACAAATGAGATGGTTTTGGGTTTTGTGAAAGAATGTGGGCATCATAATTACTTTTGTGTTTCTGTCAAATTTCCCCCTGGAGTATATTTTTAGGTTTTAGTTACAATAGTCATGAAGAAGAATAGGTGTGTATATGTAACAGAGTGTGTATGAAGTGGTGTAACTGTACTTCAAAGCCGCTTTTATTATTATAAACATATTACACAAAGCAGAACAGGAAGTCAGCTTGTCCAGTGTCTGATGCAGCACATTTTCATCGTTATAACAATGTAATAGACTCTGTTTGGATATCTGCTTCACGGGATGTTTACACAGACAATTTTGTCTGGCAAAACAAAAATGCACAAACATTTATCTGGAGTATCAATAGAGTTTAGTTTAGCTCCCTGGCCTGCAACCAATACAAATGCTGACTGTCTCTGATTGACAGTGGACATTGGATAACAGCTTCGCTGACAGAAAGGGAAAGAAGTGAAACTGTTTTGGCTCGGAGCACAAGCCAAGCTCCCCTGACAGATGATGGCTTTTGTGGCAAACATCATCAACACATGCAGTGGCTTGTTTGAGTTGTGCCTGAAAGGGAGATTCTAAATATGAATCTTGCAGAAAACTTTTGGTCGGTATTGTGCAATAAAAGCTCTTATGAAATGTCCTCTATTCACTGTTCCTTAACCATAGTTGAACTAACAAGGCAAACAACTGTTTATGTTTATGCATGATATGCTGTATGCCCACTCTTCTCTTCTTTAACTGCATAATCACTTTTTAATAGAAGCATTTCATATGTGTTTGCGTGGGAGCTGTTGTTGCTTAATATACCAAAGTCAAACTTTTGCACAGCCATAAAACACATTGCAAGTGGGGAATAACTCATCTTGTGTGGTAACTTTATAGCTTTGCTGAGGTGTTTCCTGTGTTTCAAACAAGCTGATGAGAATAATATACAGTGACTGTCTTGAGTATAAAGGAGGCTCACCTCCAGCATTAAATGTTGTTGCCCTCTGGTGGCAGCTGAAGAGAATGACATGCAACGCAGCAGATTACTGTATTTCAAAGTGTACACAACAACATGCAATGTTGGAAATATCCATATAAAAACAAACTTTGGGCAGTAATGTGAGGAAAATATTAAAGGGGTCGAAATTCAGATTTATGCTTGCTATTGTACCAACCTATAGCTGGGCTTGATCAGTGTCTTTTCTGAGTTCACTGCTCTGGGGAACAATCTGCATTGCGAAACAGTCCACGATGCTTTCATATCGGATTCATGCAACCCTCTATTAAAGGCACTATAGCAACAGTAAATGAGAGGGACACTCTACAAGCTAGAGTAAACAATGCTCCCTTTGTTCTAAACGTTTTATGACGAAGGAAATGTATTCAACATGTTTGTAATAAAGAAAAACACACAGTGTTTTGATGGAAACACCGATTTAACAACATTAACATGGTATAATTAATTAAGTCTGTTTAATGACTGCAAAAGGCCATCACCTACTGAGAGCTTTAGATTTATGTCTGGATTGAAATTCCTTTTGTAAATGTCCATGATAAACATGTACATAAGTCATCAAGTGTATAATGTGTCAAGACAAAAGTGCTGTCTGTGGTGCTGTGTATCCAAGACTATAATAACCCATTGTTGTTTACACTGCATGAATGTATTACTTCATGACTTAGTTATGACTCAACTTTTCTTTGACTTACTTCCACTTTCACATCTGACTTGGGGTATTTATTTTTGTCGGTTTTTTAAGCTATTTCTTGGGAACATCTCTTTAAGATCCATTATTGCTGCACTGTGGCCACCAGCATTTATTCCTCCTGAAAATGTGCCTCATTCCTCAAGGCCTCAAAGGCTTTTGTTTGTATTTTGTTTTTACATCAATCTTGCTAACAAAAATAATGATGACAACTAAACTATCTCCATGAAACTCAACAAACCCCATCCGCTTTGGAAAATTAGGCTATGAGATGGCCCCAGAGTTAGAGAGTACTTTTTCCAAGGTCATAAACAAACTAAATAAAAAATATTTTATTTTTCTGGGCCACTTAGTGCAACCTTATGTGTGCAACTTTTTTTTATTATCACAACATATTAGACTATATTTCATAGGGCATGAAGAGTTGCTTTAATAGTAGGCAATGGCGGATATTAACACAATAAATGTACTCAAGTACTGTACCTAAGAGATACTTGTACGATCTATATCTAAGAATTCTCAGTAGGCCTACTTCTGCTCCACTACATTTTAGAAGCCAATATTGTACTTTCTACTCCACTATATTCATTTGATAGCTTTTGTTTACTACATACAAAATCTAAATCAATGAATACATCAACATATACTTATTATGTGTAAAGATAACCAGCAGCAGCAGCAGCAGTAGCTATATAAAGTTATTCAAATTAGCTCTACATTTACCAGTTGTGATCAATGAATAATTGTAATAGTAACCAGGTCACTCAACGTTTCTGAAATAGGCCATTGTGCACAAGGGGTACTTTTACTGTTGGTACTTTATTTTGATGCTGATACTTTTGTACCTTTAATAGGTGAATGCAATACTTTTTCTTGTAACAAAGTACTTTTAAAAAGCTACTTTAACTTTGAGTAACACATCTGAGTACTTCTCCCACCACTGATAGTAGGCTACTATCCAAGTAGTTATTTATGTCTGGTTGAAACGTGCTTCAATCCAAACATGAACATATGACAGCCTTGGACAAATAGTATGTTTGTGTCTTACCGACGGGGGCAAAAGAGAGGAGGGGGTCGCTCACTGTATTGGTAAACGGAGGCAATGTGCTCTGCCACTGAAAACATTTCTGCCTCAACTTGTATTATCTGCGCGGTGGGTTGTGGGTGTGTGAGCGTCGAAGTAAAATGGCGGACTTGGCAAACGAAGGTGAGTAAGTGGCAGTATGAGAAAAACAATACAGCTACTGTGCCGCTATAAATTGTGAATATATATTGTCTGCACATTTGATCGCTGATGTGACGCTGCCTGGCCGTGTGTTTATAGTGAGTTATGGTGAAGTATAGCTCCGCGGCGTTAATTACAAGACTACAACGTTAGCAAGCAGGCTAACAATGCTAACGGCTGGGCGGTGGCTAATATCTGGAATGCTTCGGAACGCCCTCGAATGCTGCCTGCCTCTAGCTGGCTTACCTCCTAACGCTAGCACCCGGCTATTTATAGTCAGTGTGTTTTGGCATTTGTGTTAAGCCAAAACATCTAATGGGGAATACACAAACATCTTTCTACGCCAAAGTTTCAAAGCACATTTTGTAACAAAGCAAATATAGTGATATTTCACTTTATAGGCAACGTTTAAAGCACGACATCATCCTTGTTTGGTGTGGTTAGCTCTCAGTGGCAGTATTGCCTGACGTTCATTTAGGCGCGTAGAGTGAAAAACGTTAGCTAGGAGCCAATGCTTTGGTGTAATTGCTGCTTTCTTTATATGTATCTATTTAATGTGACCCAGTCTGATCGTCATTAGGTAGATCTGGGCAATTTAGCTGATATTCTTGTTGCCTTTGCTTGTCTGGCAAGATGACTCATGCGGGATGCAGCGCATTAGCAAGCTAACTATAGTCAGTAAGCTAAGCTAGGCTTGGGGCTTTTGGAAACAACCAGTGGCGCCGACTATTTGCTGGTACGGGTCAGATAGTGTAAATGCTAGCTGGTTATCATAAGCCGGGAGCATCTCCGGTTGCTTGAATTTCCTGCACTGATTCTCAGTGTTGCACGCAGGAATTCTTACATTCATTAGCAGAGATAGCGGATTGCAAGCTGCAGAAAGAAACAAAGCTGGATGTTAATATAGGTCACACACATGTTCTTGTTTTCTGCCATTATGCACGTTTCCTACATAGGCCGCTAGTAATAGCCATGAGGTGTTGTGTTTGAGACGGTGAATGTTAGTCCAGTTAATAATTCTGGCAATGTGCTGTTGGCTTTTTGTCCATTAACGCATACATTTATGCCCCAGCAAGGCTAACAACGATGCTACACCTGCTTAGTGTAATAGGCCCAACCTAGACAGAGAAAACCTTTGTCTGCTAACGTTATAGGATTACACATCTTATGAGTTACAGTGTGAAGGTAGACGCATTAAGTGGCCTGAGGTGACATCAACTGTTAACCTTGCTTGGCGATTGTTATTCTTGGTCATTTATGAAAAAACCCTGAAGCACCAACACAATATTTGGCGATGAGCTGAATGAGGTCCACATTTTGATAAAAAAAAAAAAAGTAGATACATTAGCTATTTGGAAGTGCAGAATGATTGAAAGTTTGGTGGCTGTGTACTACATTTGGATTTACATAATGTTTTAAAATCTGTTCATATTGTCTTGTATTAGAGGATCTGATTTGTTTAGTTTCCTAGTAGGGTTGCATGATGAACTGCAGGCCTAGATTAAATGAGTTTCTTTCTTTTGACTGTCTGACATTGACGTAATGCTTTTCACCATTCTAGACATGTGTTTTCTTGGGTCATATTGTTCTCACACTTCCCTCTTTTACACTTATTTTTGGACAGAGCCAAATCTGACATTAAATTAAACTTTAAACAATAGTGTTTCTCTCACTGGAAGCTTCACAAGAAGTATTTATATAAATGCACACTTTTGTATGTCTACCATACTGTATGGGACATAAGTATACATATATTTTGGATGATACTTTCACAGTGTGTTATTACCTTACATGTCTCATTGTGCCATAACATTTGGTGTTTGATTTATAAAAAACAAATCAATACAAATGATATCAATACTAATGCACTTAAACATTCTAGCTTTTTCAACAGTCATTGTGTAACTACTTTTGAGAGGATAATTAAGGCCCCATAATGGGTATGATAGCTTTTTTGTTTTCAAGTGTAAGGCATGTAATCAAACAGATGGGATTCCTGTACACATTAAGTTCATGCTTAAGTGACTAGCCTACATCTTCTCTTAACAGACAAGCCTGCCCTAGCGCCTGCTGTGTTTGTTTTCCAAAAAGATAAAGCACAGAAGGTAAGTTTCTCTATGCAGTTTCTCTATTCTTGATGCTAGTGAAGCAATATTTTATAATTTTGAAGATTTTTTTTTCTTACTGATATTCAGTCTGGACAACTTTTACTTTCAGAGATCTGCAGAGGGCTCAAGTGCAGAGGATGGAGAAGGTACATCTAATGTCCAAACTGCCACTTTATTTGTTAACATTATTGTTTCTCATATAATTATTGGAACTGCAACAATACAAATATTTGTTTACTTTTTCCAGATTCAGATAAAGACGAGGGAAGCTATTGCCCCCCTGTGAAAAGGGAACGGACCTCATCGTTCCCACCCCCACATTCTGGTAAGGGCACGTGGTGACTAAACACAGAATTAGTTTTTTTTCCTGTTTCTTGCTTGTGGTGTACACATTGATTTGTATGCTGAGTGCAATGCCTCTTCGCTACTTTGCAGTTCCCAAGAACAATGTATTCATGCCCCCAAGTTTCTGCCAGTCTCCAACTGGGAACTCTGACTCTGAGCCAGGTGAGCCATCCAGACCACTGTTTGCTTCTTTTCACAACTTAAAGGCCCTCTGCAGTTTAAATATATTAGTTTGACTAAACACAGAGTTCAAACATATAATCTAAGGCAAAAAAAACAACACAATTCAGAGATAAACAACAACTTTTGCTAGCCCTAGTATTATGTCCTAAAATATATTTTGAGCATGTGTTTATTCTCTGTTTAGATATCAAAAGTAGCAAATAAGATGTTTTGTGTACACCCTTTCTGCAAATGCACGCTATTCAATCTGACCAGCTCTAGTCCATCTACATGTGGTAATTTTACTTCTGAGCTAGCCCTTCAAGTATCCACCGTCAAGGTCTGATGTTATTCTTGGATGGAGGAAAATGCACAGTAACAGAATGCAGAGCTCCACTTACATGGACAGCCAGATCCCCAGGCATGAGAGGATACTTTTAGGAATTATTAAAAATTATAAATCAATGTGAATACAGAAGTATTCTCTTGAATTCCCTCGTTAATATGTAGTATAAATCATGTAACATTACAACTGGAAGAAACTTCCCGTGAACGTTCATGCTGGTTGGTTTTGTTTCTGGTAGAGGTTTTCTTTTTTTAAAATAATTATGTTATCTTTCTTTTTTTTATGAGTTTAGGTTTATAGCCAAGTACTTTTACACATACTAAGAAATGTACGGCTGCAGTAGTGGTCTGCGTGAGTTTGTCTCGTGTTGTGCAAAAAGAATATGCAGTATAATATACCCAGCAGATAGAGGTGAAGTATTTTTGTTGGATTTGTCTGGTTGGCTTCTGTCAGTGTTGAAACCAATATAGCTTGCTTCACAAAAGCCCCAGTAATATAGAGGAGGATTTATTTTTGTAGAAACATTTAATGACCCGTGACAATGGAACATAACGTAGTTCTATTCTGTTTAGAGTTAAGCCAGAGTTAAGCCAGAGTTATGAGCCACATTTATTAACTAGGTACTTAAATATTGATAGGTGCATAGGATTTGATATTATAAGGAGCTATTGTGTCATGTGCTGGTAGTTGGCTGCAGTTTATTTAGTGACATGTCAGATGAATATCTTATGAGGGATTGTTATAGGGTGTGTTTGGTGCTGGTTTCTATGTAGACCTTACTTGTATAATAGTTTTCCCCAGAAAAGTTATTTTGTATTAAAAAAGAATACAAATCTGACGTTAGATCCTCAACCCGGATGAGCAGATTAGTTGTTAAGGTTTTGTATCCCCTGTGGGTCAAACGTCCAATATTTAAACAGTTCACTCAAAATGTGCATTTTATTAGAGGGAGTAATACAAAACTTAAAGTTTCTGAAATGATGACTGCAGTGGGACTTTAACAACAATGAATGTGTTTTTGTGAATTATTTAAATTGTATATTTCTGTGTTATAATGTGTTATTTAACTTTGGATTTTGATTTATATTACATTGTAGATTGCATTCCTGCAACCATCTTAATTGTTAAGAGTTGTCATTGGTGACCAGTTAACACAGCCTAACAGAGACGACAGGGCCTTTGACTTACTGTTTATTATAGTGCATAAAGCACTTATTTGGAAATGAAAACAAAGATATAGTTAGGTTTTAAAATTGTTTGACTGATAGAGATCATGCAATGTTATTATTTGTTTATTGATTGTTATGAACCTGCCTGAGAACCACAGATGGAAATTAGCTATAATCTGGCATATTGCATCTCTTCTCTTTGCTGAGATGAATGTATTTGTATGCATGGTCCTTATATAAATAGATACATACATACATACATAAACAACATACATACATACATACATAAACACACTATTAAATCAAACAATGTTTGAAAAACTAGGTTTGTCAACTCTACTAGACTGATCATTTCAGTTTAATTGGACATTTTTACTTTTGTAGTCGCCATTTCCTACTGCACAACTGTGTCTAGTGTGCCATATCCTAGGAAATGTTGCTGCCTTAGTTAAGTTAAAAATGCCCAAAATAAGTAATGTTCAGTAGACAGGGTATTGATCTTATAAACGTTAGGGGTAAGAGCTCTCGGCTTTCTAATTTAGCACTGATTAGGGCCAGGTCACGTCGGGCTAATACAGCCACTGAGATGGAGAGTCAGAGGAAGAAATAGATCAAAGGCCGTAGAGCCCGCCATGTTGGAAATCTGGAGGCTGTACAAGGGTTGCTGTAGTAACGGGTCTATGGTTGGAAGGGGGCAAAGACACAAGGAACGGTTGCTGTGTCACTCTTGGATCCTTTTTTAATGTCTGCCTTTTCTTCTCCTCCGTCTCACCAGAGGAGAAGCCCGTTGGATTCCGCTTAAAGCCGCCAACCCTCATACACGGACAGGCCCCGAGTTCAGGTTGGTGTTTGAGGTTGTGAGCCTTCGTTGTGTAATATTTTCTCAAACTGAAAAAGAAACCCCATATTTATTTGCACCCTTTTCATATGACCCTTTTTATAAATGAAAATGGTACATCTAGACTTGAACATTTAGACTCAGAACATCTCATTGTGTCAAACCGTATGAGACAAGTTGGCTCTGTTGCAGGCGTCCCAAGTCAGAAACCCAAGGAGCAGCAACGCAGTGTCCTCCGCCCTGCAGTTCTCCAGGCGCCGCCCTCTAAATCACATATAGAGTCCAGTGAGTGCAGCTTGGAGTCACCTGCACTCATTAGTTAATACTAATAAAACATTCTCAAATATCATCAAAATCTTCTTTGTCTGATCATTAATTTAACTTTATTGATAGCTTTCAATGTGCAATTGTTTTGTCTGTTTTCAGCATGTGGCTACATTTCCTTTCGGATGGTAAAAATAAAAGAAAGTATAATTTCTTTGTCCTTTCTGTCTGTTGATTTAGATTCCAGTTGTGGAACCAACGGTGTGAAAAAGTCACCAGATGGGGCCCCTGGCTCCCAGTCCCTCTTCCTGAACAACACGGAGCACACTTTGACCAAATCACAGGTGAGGAGTAGCTTGGTATTAATCAACTAATGCCATTCAGTCAGTAAAGGCTTTGTTTAAGGAATAAGACAATGCTCTAAGCCATGGGTTTTCAAAGTGTGGGAAGGTGAGCCTCCCCTCAGAGAACATAAGAACAGCCGCGCCCCCCTCCCAATTATTATTATTATTATTATTGTTGTTGTTGTTGTTGTTGTTGCTATAATGCAGGGGTATTATTATCCAGTGGAATGCCCTTACCTACTGGCCTAGTTAAATCAAAGTGGTTACTTTTTTTTGGCTGGGCAGTGTAGTTTTACACACCGTCTTATTTGGCTTTTTAAGGACTTAAAACTCTTTTTTGGGGGCAGAACCCCACAAAGAAAAATATATATTTACACACGTAAGGTCATCATCTTAATAGTTTGTTATGCTCATCGAGTCATCCATGAGCAGAGCATCAAGTTGGCATGCCTATAACAGCTAAATGCGGCGGTTACCATCTTGTTCAGCAAAACGCCTCACAAACGTATTAAGATGTAAAGCTTTAGTGCGTTTTGATTCAACGCAGTAAAGCCAAACTTCACAGTCTCTTCTCTGTCATTGAAGACCGCAAATACCTCATTCCTTCCATGTACTTGGGACCGAATGCTTCTCGTTTTCTGCCGTCCCGTTCAAATTAAATCGCCGCCAATCACATTTCCTCACTCGCGCCAGGGCTGGGGCAGGGGTTACAAGGCTTGCGTCTTGTGCTGCATTCACTTGCACTCGGACATTAGGGATTTTCTCTCATAAATGTCCGATGAGCCACAACTTTTATTACAAAACAAAGCTGCCAACTGGGGTGGCCAGACGCTGTCTCCTCTCTCCCTTTAGGTAATTTCACTAAAAATCTATCCATGTTAACGAGCTAGATTTCACTGTTTCTCTTTATTTTTTTCTCCCGCTGCGCCTCCCCTGAAGCTCTCTGGCGCCCCCCAGGGGAGGCGCGCCTCACACTTTGAAAACCGCTGCTGTCGAGCCCATGTGTTTAAAAAGCAGGACATCAAAAAAGAACTCCCCTTGTGATAAACCTGCAAGAGAAAAAGCATTTGAGCTCCATACTGTTTCAGAAATAATCTTTGATGGGGTTTAGAACCGGATGGCGTTGTATCACAGCATAATTTAACTTTATCTCCGGTAGAATTCTGATAAGGCATTAGCTCCGCCTCCTCTTCTTTTCTTTTTTTTCAAGCTAAGGACCCAAGATCTGCGTTTCTCTAACAGGGCTTCAAAAGAGGGGTTTGAGCAGTATGAGGGATGGCTACAATGGGTGATCTGTTTGGTATTTTGAAAAAAAAAACTTCACAGACATGTTTGGTATAGGTTGGTCCCTACCAATATATTTTTCAAATATAGCATGGTAGGTCCACTTTAAAGTGAGCCTGGCCTACCAAGGGCCAAACTAAGCGTGTCCTAAGCCATGCTAGATCCTCGCAGTGGAAAAGCGCCATATGTGTCCTTAACCCGTAATTGCTCCAATGGCATGGCCAACGCTGTGTGATGTGTGTGTAAATATTAGCTTCCTTGAACAGGTGCATCTTGCATGGAAGCCCTTGCCTCTGTGTGAATGGGTGAATGATGACTTGCATATGTAAAGCGATATAGAATGAGTCCATTTAACCATTTTTCTTAGACCACTTAGGATGACCCCTCATTTTAGGGGTTAGTGATGCCATGAGACAGTTCAGTGGGGACCTCCGTGTCAAGCACAGGATCAAGAACAGAGTGTGGACTTGTAACTGGAGAGGTGCCAGTCCCCCACTACCGCTTGAGCAGGGCACCATNATCCTGAGGGTTTCCTCAGCTCAGAGTCTGACCCCAAACATTGATGAACTTGCACCCGAGATGAGATGCCAAGTATCTGAACTAGCATCAGAGCAGCACA